GGTTCATGTTAACTCAGCGAAACTTTTATTGCGAACACTTTTTCTCGAAACTTTATTCGCAAATGTTATCATAGTGAATGGATCTTATAGTGAAATTTTTATCGAGAATCCCCATTGACAAATTCTATTCCACAAAGACTATATTACCAAACAAATGTAGGGAATTTTTTGCGAAACACATATCGTGAACTCTTTTGAGCGAATAAATATCCGCAAAACTTTTATCACGAATCAATAATAGCGTAAATTTTACAGCGAAGTCATTATAGCATAAGGCTATTTCCAGACAGAATGTCTTTTCAAAGCGGCTTTAGGGTAATGACCAGCTTTCCAAAAAAAAACACTAGTAGAATTAATTTTTTTATATAATATGATATTTAAAAAAACAATCCGGATCCCTATTTTTTTCGAAAGAAAACAAACTGGTTTGATTTTAAGAACGATTAAATGGTCTCTTGAAATGTGGCTCAGGATTGTTTTTTTAATTATATTATATAAAAGAATTAATTAAAGAAGTTAGTATCCATTGTTAGGATATAAAAAAAATTTCATTACCTAAAAACCGCTTCTAAAAAACGTTCTGTCTGGAAATGGCCTAACCCAAATTGCGGAGACAATATAACAAAAGCAAGCGATAATCAGGGATCCAAACCGAAACGAATATCGGTTCGGGTTCGGATAAAAATAACGGTTCAAAGTTCAGGTTCGTAAAAAATTAAAATATCGGTTCGGTTCGAACCTCTAAAAACCGGTTTGAACACTTTTGTATTCAAACCTATATTCGAATTATGTATATTTTATTTTATCATTAATTTAAAAAACACATATATAAAACCTTCATTTTTATTAATTGCACATTATAAAATAAAATTTAATTTATAAATATATATATCAATGATTAATTTTAATATGAACAATATTTTCCTTTTTTTACTTAATTTTTTTTTATTAAGCTGCACAATTATATATTTTCAAAATTCGGCTCAACACAATGAGGTAGCATAAATTTAATTGTTGAAACATCTTTCCACACTAACTTGGGTAGCCGGCACTTCCAATATGATATCAGATTTGATATGTCATTTATAATAATTATTTTGGATTTAATTTTTCTCTAAGCATTATAATTTATAAGCTTAAAATATTTAAAAAAATGACAATGTACAAAGTTTATAAAAATTATGATAGACACTTATCAATCAAATGTGATTGATGATAATTTTTAAAATAATTCGGATATATAATAACGTACATATTATTTTATAAGCATAAAATCATAAGACCCGAACCGGTTCAGGTTCGGATGGAATTTTTTTAGAGGTTTAGGTTCGGTTCAGGTTCGATAAAAAATACCAGTTTTTAGCGGTTTAACGGTTCGGTTTGGATCCCTGGCGATAATTATAAAACATTTATTTTAAAGGAGATATTAATAAAATCGTCGGTCTAGAATTGGAATGCTCTACTCGACATTTTCAAAATTTTTGAGTTAGAAGTGGATAATTACTTAATTATTCCCAATATATAAAAAAATAAAAACTAGAATAAAAATATTAATTTTTGCCAAAGTCATAGCTCTGTCAAAACTGATCAATAAAGTTTTTCTATATTTGATTTTAAACTTTAATGATGATTTTCTCATTTTAAACATTTTCGCAAGTGGAGCACTCCAATTCTAGGCCGATGAAATATTTAAAAAAAATAAGCTGAGAGAACAATTCTATGATAGGGATTTTAATTTTTTTAACCTTAATAAATTTATAAAATGATTCTGTAGCTTATAATTTAGAAATTTTTTAAATTATATATAATTTTTTATGCTACACCGTTCTATATTTTTCGAAGTCAATTTATATGAGTTGAGCTAATATTTATTGCCTTATCGATACTTATTATTAATCAATCAGCTTTGCGTCACTAAATAAAAACCGAATCATAAGCTAAATAAAAACTATAACGTCATGCCTTAGACTGCGTTTTATAGGATTTTGAACCGCGATTTAAAAATTTATTTTTTATAGCAATTTTTGTTTTCATATTTGTATCAAATATTTTAATCATTCATATTCCGATATTCAAATACTGGGAACACAAACAAGTATCAAATAAATTATATTTTAAGATTTCTTATGCAATTTTGTCTAATCATTTATAAAGTATAAATTTCATCAGGAGTGACGTTTTAAAATTTCAAACAAAAAATAAACTAAGAAATTTCTATAAAAAAAAATTTGAGAAAATTAAAATTTTACTTAAGCCATTATGAATTAAAAAAAAATCAGTTAAAATTCTTAGCTTTTAGTATTTTTAGTTCTGAATAAGTAAAAAAATTTCTAAGTATTTCAGCTCATTTGCTATATCTCACTTTGAATTGTGTAAAGCGCATTTTTTACATTTTCAAATTTATGTAGGAGTGTGGGAAATAAATTTATTAGGGTAAAAAATTGAACCTAAAATTCCCCCTGCGTACTTATGACCATGAGTGGAAAGATAAGGAAGAAATTGTGAAGTTATTTTTTCATCACATCAGATAAAGGTCACATTTAAGCCAACTTTTGCTTACATAATAGAGAATGAGTTATGAAATGATCTTATAACATTTCGCAGAAATGTCGGTAGATATATATTGAAGATATTGTTTTTCTTTTAATAAATGCATTCGAAATATCTTTTTTTTGGGTAATGCTCTCGCGTAGTGTTGTTAATCGACTAAATTTAGTCGACTAACAGAGGACTAACTAATAGTTTTAGTCGAACAATTCGACTAAAAACTTTAGCGACTAAATTAGTCGACTAATAAGTCGACTAAAACGACTAATTTAGTTGACTAAAACGACTATCAGAGAAGATAAACAAAAAGAAGTAAAGTGAGAATTTGTCATTAAAATAACTATATGAGTTATATATAGTTATTTTTAATATATTTTTTTTTGAATTTCTTTTTCTTTGAAGGAACAGGTTAAAATTTTAAATTGTTATTTTTGAACTTTTTTAAAATTATTTTAAAGCAAGGTATAAATATATATTGTAAACATGTTATATTAAAATTTCAGTGAAGATGTACCATAGAAAAGTGACAATTGTCATAATCGTCATTTATAGGTTTTTTTGAAATTTTTTGAAGCAAATGGGTAAAAATATATATTGTAAACATGTTAAAATAAAATTTAAGCGAAGATGTACCATAGAAAAGTGACAATTGTTATAATTGTCATTTATAGGTTTTTTTGAAATTTTTTTAAGCAAATAGGTAAAAATATATACTGTAAACATGTTAAAATAAAATTTAAGCGAAGATGTACCATAGAAAAGCGACAATTCTCATAATCGTCATTTTGCTTCAAAAAATTTCAAAAAAAAACCTATAAATGACGTTTATGACAATTGTCACTTTTCTATGGTACATCTTCGCTTAAATTTTATTTTAACATGTTTACAATATATATTTTTACCTATTTGCTTCAAAAAATTTCAAAAAATCTTAAAAATGACGATTATGACAATTGTCACTTTTCTATGGTACATCTTCACTGAAATTTAAATATAACATGTTTACAATATATATTTTTACCCATATGCTTCAAAAAATTTCAAAAAAACTTAAAAATGACGATTATGACAATTGTCACTTTTCTGTGGTACATCTTCACTGAAATTTGGATTCAACATGTTTACAATATATATTTATACCTTGCTTTAAAATAATTTAAAAAAAGTTCAAAAATAACAATTTATAATTTTAACCTGTTCCTTCAAAGAAAAATAAATTCAGAAAATATTAAAAATAACTTATATATAACTCATATAGTTATTTTAATGACAAATTCTCACTTTACTTCTTTTTGTTTATGTTCTCTGATTAGTCGACTAAATTAGTCGTTTTTAGTCGACTAATTAGTCGTTTTAGTCGCTAAAGTTTTTAGTCGATTTCCTCGACTACGACTATTAGTCTTAGTCGGAAGAAATCAACTAATTAACAACACTACTCTCGCGTAAATAAATCCGCGCAAATACATTCAGGTAAAAAAATTGATTATTATAAAGGCGCGATTTAAAATGTATTCACTCCAAAGTTTTCGTAATTTAGGTTTCGCAGAAATAAATTCGTGATAATGCATTCGCGATATTGCCTTCGCTGTAAATAATTCATAAAAAATTTCAGCGGAATAGGTTTCGCGATATTATTTTCATTCTAAAATTCTCGCGATCAAAGTTTAGCTAAAAATTGTTTCACGAATGCGAAAATATGATTTTTTTATATTATTTGGAACCAGAAAAGGATTAAAAAATATATAACGAGTCAAAATATAATGTTCAGGAATTAAAAAAAAATAAAATGGACATAATCATTTTTGATAATGTCCCAAATATCGCCTTGGCCACGGGAAGCAGAAAAAAGTGTTTCCTGTATTGCCCATAATTTGCAGTTAGTGATTTTTTTGCATAAATAATAAATATTGGATAGGGTTTGTATGAATATTGGAAAATATAAAATAAATCGATAAAAAATGCGTGGATTGGCAGAGCCCGAATAACGACATATTGCATTCATTTTTTGGGAAGAGGGAGAGAGGTGGAAGCATTCCACTGTAAATTTGCATGGAGGTAATTTCTTTTGTAGCTATGCCAGCGCATATATAAAATTTAAAATAGTACATCAATATGCATTAATAATTCTTTCAAATATTAAAAAAGATGATATTTAAGATATAAATCTGAAAAATTAATTTACATAATAGTTACATAAGAATTACAAGCGTATAAGATAAAATAACATACTTTTGTAGAAAATCGTATTTTTAATAAATATATTGGCTGTTTTTCAAAAATAGATATACATATAATATGATCATTTATAAGGCTCTAGAGGTAAGATGTATTTACTATTTAGTATAATTAAAATTCCATAAACTCTAGTATAAAAAATATATAATTGATTTCTATCATAAAATTAATATATCACAATTCAGAGTCATACTATAAATATTGTTTGGAAATATTTTTTAATAAGGCATAAAACAATTTTTTAACGTTTTATGGTTATATGCATTAAATTTAGATGGTTTAAAACTGAGCGGTAGAGACCGATTTTTGAATATTGAATATGGTATAAGTTGTTCGACAATTTTACAGTCATGAATCAAATTAGATTTTTTAAGGGTTAAAGGAAATCCATTATACAAAATTCGGATCACAGGAAGTTCGGACATACCTTTTGGAAGACATGTACTATTGGGAGATTCAGAATTAAACGTAGTAGATATTGTATTAGACATTGGATACCAAAATTCGAACACAACCCTGGCTGAATAAGGTATAAGATAATGATAACTTATGTCATCCTTGTTCCAAATATAGTTTCTATCAGTGAATGAATTTAAATGTGTCAACAGTGGACTCAAAGTGGTATCGTGAGCAGAAAAGATTTCCAATTTCGCTTGATTTAGCTCACCGTCGGGATATACTCCTTTATCAAAACTATCAATTATACGATGCAGCAAGGAACGTATTTGAAAGTAAGAAAAGTATTTAAATGCGAGGTTTTGGGTTTGAAATTCATGATGAGACTTGAGTTGGTGCAATAGTATATCTAATTGATTAGAGTGTATACATTCGAAAAGATTGGGAGATATTCTACACAAGGAAAAGTTTTCGTTGGGAGAGTGTTTCAATTGATAATACTTATCATATGTTGATTTATCACGTGTTTCATAGTTGTTTGGATAGTGACAGACCATGGGCAGCAATGTATCAAAAATAGTTCTGGCCGTAACTCTTTTGAATTTTTTTTGGCCGTCATATAAAATATGCTTGAGTTGGTAATTTATGTCCTCTGAGAGATTCTTTTGAAAGATTTCTAGCTCTTGGGTAAATTGAACGTAGGACTGATAGATCCAAGGGCATCCACATGAATTAATGAGTGAATTGTCGAGTGGAAGAGTTATATTGAGGCAAAACAAATGAGATTCATGAATGTGTATGCCATTCAAGAAAGAAATCAATGAAGGAATGGATATATTGGAAGGCAAAAAGGAATATATTAGCGCGGCGGCACTCAAATATGCCCTTCGAACTTTGGTAGAATGAACATGAACAGTTTTTTGTAGTTCAAGGATTCTGGCATCTTGATCAAACGGAAAATGATCGCGATATCTTTCTTGGAAATACAAGCCCAGTTTTATATTTTGTAGTACACCAAACAACGTTAGTTCGCCTGAATTATCAGAGCAGGAAAGAGGGAATTTATATTTCATGTTCACTTCTACAAGTTTTAAGAATTTCAAAAAAATGTGCTTAATTCTTAGATTGGCGGAATCAAAATATGGAAAGCAAGATTGCCTTGATACCTTTTTACCCGCGAATAGTAGAGTAGCTTGATTTGCGGGAGCAATAATTGAAGACCGGTCTCCATGCCTGATCACGATTTTAACTAATTTTAGCTTATAATTCTTTAATGGAAATCGTCTGCCTGAAATAAAGTTTATTTATTGAGATAATATAAATTAAAATATTATTTATAATCAGGATTTGGTATTTGATATATTATTTATAATCAGGTTAAAGTATTTAGCTCATCAAATACAATTCTATCAATTGACCGGTCAACTTAAATTATATATTTTCGTGGTAATATTATTTCGGTATAATATAATAGTAAATATACAAAATTCATAACTGAATTGAAATTATTTCTATGATAATCAGACTAGCCACGGGGGAGCATTGAGAAGACCAGCCCACCCCTCCAAAAAAAATATTTTTTTTCGACTCTAAACCTGGCTCTTCGATAAAATATTTGGCCCAAAAATTTTTCCGGTCTCTAAATAAATATAAAAAAAATTAGTTATTGAATTTCAATTTACCATTTACAATTAAATCCAAATGAAATAACAAAATTCTTAGAAAATTTTACTTATTAAATTTTATTTAGCCAAATTAATTGGATAAACAAGGAAATATTTATAAGGATATTATTTAAAAAATATTCTACACTCATTAACTATTAAATGAAAATAACAAACAATATCGGCCTTTTGTATTCCTAGGCAAAAAACACTAGTGTAGGTGAATTTGTCAGTTCACATGATGATTCTTCTCAACCTTTTCTTGAAAATGGTAAACCAGTCAATGTTAGCGAGACTTGATTAAAAAATTAGGATAAATTATAAATATTGCAAACTACTTCCTGATTATCACGCGATGATACCTAAGCGTTATTTAATACATGTCAACTATTAAATATTTTAAAAAATTGAAAGATGACGAATATTCTTACATGAAGAGAGAATACTTATTCAAAATAACCATAAAATGGCAAACTACTTCCAGCCTATAACGCGATACTTCGTTAATATATATGTTAAAATAATATATAAAAAAATTAAAGAGGGCGTAATTTTATAAAGAGGAATACTATGAAGAGGAATTTTAAGATATCTTTTTGCCTAGTGGAGGGTAACTTAACATCACCCCAGGCACTGAGAGGTACTCAGGCAGACATCTTACAGTTATTTAGGTGTTAAGGCTCCTTTTTAAAAGTTGCTAGCTCCCGCTACTAAATTTTTAAAAGGAGCTAGCTTCCGCTCCAAGTAATGTGTCACTCCATGTCCTTTGATTTTCATTTTTTTTATAAAGTGTACGAAATAAAATCATATTTTTTTTATCAAAATAGTTTTATTTACATTAAATGACGCTACTAAATTTTTAAAAGGAGCTAGCTTCCGCTCCAAGTAATGTGTCACTCCATGTCCTTTGATTTTCATTTTTTTTATAAAGTGTACGAAATAAAATCATATTTTTTTTATCAAAATAGTTTTATTTACATTAAATGATATATCAAAATATTTATAATCTTTTATTAGCTTTAAAAAGTATTAAATTTTCTAAATTTGAATCTAACATCCACACCTCTCCCCTAAAACCTGTATAGCAATACTAAACAGGCGCTCTACAGGAGCATTAGAGGGAAGCGGGGTATTGTACTTTATAAAAATATATTTTAATTCAGGAAATTTATCAAAAATAGTAATTTTGATATTATTTAAAAAATATTTGTCCAATATATTATTTTCCTGATTATCAATTTCATGGAATCCAAAAAAATCTTCAGAATCATTGCTGGGTTTCCGTGAACTAGTAGCCATTTTTGCATCAGTTTGTTTTCTTAAAAAATTAATTAATTTGTATTTTAGTTCCATATTTTGTGCATTTTTTATCCATTCCCAATTTAATTTGAATGTAGGATGGATAATAGCCGTTATGATTTCCATCATTATAAACATTTGAAAATCTGCAATAAAGTTATTTAAATAGATAATTTATTTTCTATTTCGATTTCTACTTCTAAGATGTCTGGACCCATAATATCAAAAACTATTTTTTATCATATATCTAAATATTAATATGACACAAGATTTTCCAAAAAATTTTCATTATAAAAAGAAAGAAAAACTTGATGTTTAATATTTTAACTGATTGATGAAAAACCAATATAAAACTAGGCTCAACATTTAATATTACATAAATTTAAATAAAATAAAATTTCATTTTTATTAACAAATAAATAGGATTATTAGGGTAGGTCTATAAGTCGAAAGGCTGCATGATACGAAAGGCTAAAAAATAATATTTAAAATAAAAATAACCAAGAAAATGATTAATGTGTAATTTGATTGATTATTGCTTTTTTTACGAGAAAAATATTATAATAACATTACATTATAATATATTAAAAAAATGGAAATTTTAAGATCTTTTCAATTTTTTTATTAATTCTTTGAAATAAATTGCGGTTTTAATTTTATTTAATTTTATTAATTTAAATTTTTAATTAAATTATATTTATTTATTTAAAAAAAATGGAATATAATATATTAAAAAAATGGAAATTTTAAGATCTTTTCAATTTTTTTATTAATTCTTTGAAATAAATTGCGGTTTTAATTTTATTTAATTTTTATTTTTAATTAAATTATATTTGGTTATTTTAAAAAAATGGATTATAATATTTCAATTTTTTTATTAATTCTTTGAAATAAATTGCGATTATAATTTTATTTAATTTCATTAATTTTTAATTTATATTTTTAATTAAATTATATTTGGTTATTTTAAAATAATGGAATTTTTAAAATTATATGTATATTCTATTTAAGTTTTTTTTCAAAACTAAATTGATAGTAAGTATAACGATATTGTGAGTACTGGATTAAAGAAAAGGCTAACATCTTATATGCAATTTTGAATATTTTTATATCATTCTACTCAGAATTAAATTTCCTATCTAATTATGCTTAGATGTATTTTTTTACGTTTCCGGTTCAAAAAATAACATTTTTGTCGTGAAAATGTTCGAAGGGAAAAGGCTAACATCTTTAGTTTAATTTTATAAATTTTTTTATCATTGAACTCAGAATTAAATTTCCTATCTAAATATGCTTTGATGTATTTTTTTAGGTTATCGGTTCAAAAAATAAATTTTAATAATTTTTTTGTGGTAAAAACGTTGGAAGGGAAAAGGTTAACATCTTAAATGCAATTTTGAATATTTTTATATCATTCTACTCAGAATTAAATTTCCTATCCAATTATGCTTAGATGTATTTTTTTACGTTTCCGGTTCAAAAAATAACATTTTTGTCGCGAAAATGTTCGAAGGGAAAAGGCTAACTAACATCTTTAGTTTAATTTTAAAATTTTTATATCATTGAACTCAGAATTAAATTTCCTATCTAAATATGCTTTGATGTAATTTTTTACGTTATCGGTTCAAAAAATAAATTTTAAATATTTTTTTGTGGTAAAAACGTTGGAAGGGAAAAGGCTAACATCTTATATGCAATTTTGAATATTTTTATATCATTGAACTCAGAATTAAATTTCCTATCTAAATATGTTTTGATGTATTTTTTTACGTTATCGGTTCAAAATATAAATTTTAAAATTTTTTTTGTGGTAAAAACGTTGGAAGGGAAAAGTCTAACATCTTATATGCAATTTTGAATATTTTTATATCATTCTACTCAGAATTAAATTTCCTATCCAATTATGCTTAGATGTATTTTTTTACGTTTCCGGTTCAAAAAATAACATTTTTGTCGCGAAAACGTTCGAAGGGAAAAGGCTAACATCTTAAGTTTAATTTTATAAATTTTTATATCATTGAACTCAGAATTAAATTTCCTATCTAAATATGCTTTGATGTAATTTTTACGTTATCGGTTCAAAAAATAAATTTTAACTATTTTTTTGTGGTAAAAACGTTGGAAGGGAAAAGGCTAACATCTTATATGCAATTTTGAATATTTTTATATCATTGAACTCAGAATAAAATTTCCTATCTAAATATGCTTTGATGTATTTTTTTACGTTATCGGTTCAAAAAATAAATTTTAAAATTTTTTTTGTGGTAAAAACGTTGGAAGGGAAAAGTCTAACATCTTATATGCAATTTTGAATATTTTTATATCATTCTACTCAGAATTAAATTTCCTATCCAATTATGCTTAGATGTATTTTTTTACATTTCCGGTTCAAAAAATAACATTTTTGTCGCGAAAACGTTCCAAAGGAAAAGACTAACATCTTAAGTTTAATTTTATAAATTTTTATATCATTGAACTCAGAATTAAATTTCCTATCTAAATATGCTTTGATGTAATTTTTACGTTATCGGTTCAAAAAATAAATTTTAATTATTTTTTTGTGGTAAAAACGTTGGAAGGGAAAAGGCTAATATCTTAAACGCAATTTTGAATATTTTTATATCATTCTACTCAGAATTAAATTTCCTATCCAATTGTGCTTAGATGTATTTTTTTACGTTTCCGGTTCAAAAAATAACATTTTTGTCGCGAAAACGTTCGAAGGGAAAAGGCTAACATCTTTAGTTTAATTTTAAAATTTTTATATCAATGAACTCAGAATTAAATTTCTTATCTAAATAATGTAATTTTTTACGTTATCGGTTCAAAAAATAAATTAAAAAAATTTTTTTGTGGTAAAAACGTTGGAAGAGAAAAGGCTAACATCTTATATGCAATTTTGAATATTTTTATATCATTCTACACAGAATTAAATTTTCTATCCAATTATGGTTAGATGTATTTTTTTACGTTTCCGGTTCAAAAAATAACATTTTTGTCGCGAAAACGTTCGAAGGGAAAAGGCTAACATCTTAAGTTTAATTTTATAAATTTTTATATCATTGAACTCAGAATCAAATTTCCTATCTAAATATGCTTTGATGTATTTTTTTACGTTATCGGTTCAAAAAATAAATTAAAAAAATTTTTTTGTGGTAAAAACGTTGGAAGGGAAAAGGGTAACATCTTATATGCAATTTTGAATATTTTTATATCATTCTACTCAGAATTAAATTTTCTAGCCAATTATGCTTAGATGTATTTTTTTACGTTACCGGTTCAAAAAAAAATATTTTTGTCGCCATAACGTTCGAAGGGAAAAGGC